TACAGCCGACAAGACAATATACTAGCTCTCTTTTCTAACGAGCTACCAGATAATAACAATCTGCTTCGGTTGTGAATAAAGCTTTGTCTACTCTACCAAGGAGAGTCCAGCATGCCATATGAGTAGAATGGTTCTCGACCCAATCGGTCGCTCATGGTACGGCCTTGTAGCAAAAGCCACTACCCACGGTACCTTTACAGCTCATGGCCCCTTCGCACCAGCACATAACAAGACATTATGAGTAACTCTTCCAAAATACAGCAGGAGCAAATGTTTGCACGCTTCATACACGACACGGCCACAATAATTAGGTGCTGTATTCCTTCAGTTGCAGCGGGGATGCACTGGTGCTTGCATAAAATAATAGCGGATCTCAAGCTACGACTCCTTTCGCCGCTCGCTATTCTCCTCAACGCTCTAAGTCAATATCAGGGTTGCAATCACCCAAATTTGCCTCTGGTCACGCGGGTATTTGTACGGCAGATCGACCGTTGCTCTGCCGTTGATCGATACTTGAACTGCCTTATAACTCAACGCTTTGCATATTGCAAAAGTCCTTGGCATACTGTGGCTGATGCGTAGAAGAACTCACGGATGACGACGATTGCTCCTGGATCTTGAGCTCGTTCTGCTGCATCTGCAGACCGGTGGTATAAGACTGTGAAAGCAGGTCCGCAAGCTTGTCATGGATCTGGCCAGACTGCGAGCTAGCTACTTTCGTGCGCTCTTGGTTGCGGGTCCACAGATCTTGGAGCAACGCACTCACCTGCTCGGCAAGGTCTTTCAAGAGCGAACGTTGTCGCGACGATACCGAAGTGCGGGGCTGTGAGTCTGCTACAATGAGCGCACCAAGCACGATACCGTCACTCGCCCGGAATGGCACTCCCATTACAAAGCGTAGGTTGGGCACCTCCGTGACAAATAAATTAGAAGACAATATGTCATCTTCCTTCGCGTCTAGCACCGTCACGACCTCTCCGTTATCTTCCACTTCTTCATCGTCACTTGTTGTGTCCTTGACTACAGGACTCTTGCAAATCGGAAAGCGTCGCATGATCTCTGCTGTGAGCGAGTGAGAAAGAGGCACCTCATTCAACTCACGCGACAAGCCGAAGCTGGATTTAATAAATTCTCGCCTGGCATCCACGAAACTGATTGTCGCCAGTGAGCAGCTTGAATGCTGTGCCGCCTGCTTTGCCACAAGGTCGTATATATGTTCCTTGCCCGAATCCATAATGCCATACTCTGCAAGACGAGCAGCGCGCTCTTCATCCAAAGACGACGTGACACGAGATTTTCCCAGCACAATGTCCGTATGGATTTCTTCCAAAACCTCCTCGTCATACTCTTCGTCGCCCTCTTCAAGTTCGTCGAGGCTACGGTAATCATGCAAATTGAGGTCCTGCAGCTTAAAGTCGATACCGACATTCGAGTCGTGAAACTCCATTCCATCGTCCTCGTCGGCCTCGTCCAGTTCTTGAAGATCAAAGTCACAAATGTCCTCTTCATCTTCCTCTCCATCTTCGTTCTCCTCCTCACCGATACCGTCAAGATCCTCTCGACCCGAATCCGCGTCAGCCTCCGAATCATTAAAGTCGAAGCCTTCCAGTTCGGAATTGTTTGTAAAACGCCTAGTATTAGCACCAGCAACAGGAATACCGCCCTTGAGGGACAGATCAAACTCCGAGTCGTGAAAGTCCATTAGTGACAACTCGGAGAATCGCTTGTAAAACAAATCGCTCTGCATCACAACGCTGCTAGGTGATGACGGTGATGACGAGCACACAGACGCTACTTCAATCGCCTCGATCGAGTCAATATCCGCGCTCGAGTCACCTTCAGGCTCCTTCTCCACTTCTTGTGAGACTTCCCGAGTCTTTTCCAACCCTTTCTCAGTATCGCTATCGTCGTCTTTCCCTTCATCATCATTCCCTTCAATGTCATTTTCGCTCTCGTAATCAAAGCGGCTGCCACGAGAGCTGCACGCTGTTGTGGCGTTGCTTGCATTGCTCGGCTTGTAGAAGCTACCGCCAAGACTACTAATGCTCAACGTCTTCGAGCTGCCGCTCTTGCTGAATGCTCCCAGACCACGGCTACTGTTGAAGCTGCTTACCGTACTTCCAGACATGTTTGACAACGTTCGATCTCCGCTTGATGCATGAGATGACAACAAATTTTGAGAGTCATACATGTCCGAACTATCACCGCTACTCGAGTTCGTCGATGGCGCACGATTGTACTCTTCATCATCTTCTGGACTGCGTGGTGGTGCATTACCGCTATTAAGTCGACGACGCAGAGCATTGATACCGTTCACGGGTGTCCTGGGAGGTTGAGCTGCACCCTGGACTTGAAGGTTCATCCGTCCTTTGCTAGACCTTTGGCTGTCATCTATTCCGTGCTGGCAGTTGATGCAGATGCGGAACGGGCATTTGCCTGCTTTGCCAAGTTTGATCTGGTGCACCTCGGAGCACTTGGAGCAAGCAACGTCACCACATAGACGACAGTGGTGTTTCCTACGTGACATCGAAAACTTGCCCTGACATACGCAGCAACTCTTCCGAGACTTGACCCAATTTTCCGACGTCAAGTAGGGAGACTCTCGTAGACGCATGACCAATAGCACTGTGTTCAACTGCTGAAAGGCAGTCAAGTACGCCAGCATGTTCTGTCTTCGTGTAGCTGTGACTCCATTGGCATCGTAGCAGCTAAATTTGATCAAAACTTCTAGTACGTTATCGCCCGCAACCGATGACGCTACAGGGTACACGACAAAGCCTGAAAACTGCATCAACGCTCTCGCAGTCAATGCAAAGTTAGCCGCTTGTGATGTTGCCGCTTTGGATAGTGGCGATGCAGACGTCACGATGGGTTTGCAGTAGCGTGTCACCGCTGGGTCTTCAATCGAGTGGTGCAAGATAATTCCAATTCGCTGGTCTTCAAAATCTTGTGCTTGATTGTGTGCCATTGGACCACGAATGTACGCTCGACGAATCGTCGCGTACTCGGAAACACAAAGTGTAAGTCCTTGCTCATGTGTACTATCTGCACCCTTACGTCCCATTCCATTATGCAATCTTGCTGCCTGCCGTTCCCGATGTCGATTCTTGCCTCCAAATTTAAGTGAAGTAGATGCTGAACTCGCGTTCAATGCAGCGTTCGAATTATTCCGAGCTGCTCTACCCTTGATCGATACATACTTGATAGCATATTGCTCCGTCTCCCTTACACTTTGTGAAGGTGAGTTCGAACTATTGGACGACGTTGAGGAACTACGGTGCGCTTCGACCACTTGGTAAATTACCAAAGCTCGTAAATACGTCGGCCAACTGAACACGTTCCTCAAACAAAGCCGCTTGAACATTTTGAAACACATCTCGCTTAGGGGACGCCATAAGACGTATAAAGTCGTCCAACGTTGCACGTACTCGTGTCGTGGCTAGCATTGTATGCATATTTTGTGACAATTGGGACGGATCAGCGGGCATCATGCTGGACACGCGATGCATTGAGTCAGCACGTAGCTCATAGACGTTAAGCGGTCCACGTGCTGTAACAAACTGCCATTTCTCAGCGTCCGCTACAGCGTCCACTAATAAAGCCGCAGCATTCCCACGTGCATCGAGTAATAATGCATCCTGCTGTTGTTCACTAAAGTGAAGATAAGCATCAGGTGTGACGCTATCAGCACTAGTGGTACTAACATTGGACCGACTACTAGTGTTACTACTTGTCCAATTTGGTATTTCCTGTAACGTTTGAGAATTTCCACTGGGTAGTGGGGGTGTATCACTCGGACGTGAAGTAGTGGACGACGCCTTTTGCTGTCTTGAACGATAGAGAGATCCGTAGACCATGGAATGAGGTGCTACCTTAGGTGGACGTGTCCACGTTTGGACAAAATAAACCTAACGATATAGATGACAGTTGCAGGTAGCACCTGATCACACAACTACTTTCCTCAAACCGGCAAGGAAAATATGTTTCAAATTGACTTCTTATTCACTCTCTTACTCACTCACTCACTCACTCGTTCGTTCGTTCGCTCGCTTGCTTTGCTTCTGTTTTTCTTCTTCTTCTTTATCTAAAGTCGTTTGCTTACGCTGTGCTGCGCTCGAGTCGGAAACTGAGCGCCAGCGCGGTGAAAGGGGGAAGAGGACGACAAGTTGTCTAGCCGTATAAACCATTTGTCTTTCGTATGCAGGAAGAGACTGACAGTTGTTTCACACGGCCCTATCATTCAAAAAACGGGCAAGAGATGTGAAAGGCTCATCATTCTTGAAGAAAATGGGCAGTCCAGCTAAATGCTACATGGTTGTTTTATATTCAAGCATGGTGCGACCTAAGCTTAAGAGACAGACAAAACTGTCCAATTCTGAAAGCGATGGATGTCCCACCAGAATGACGTCAGTTTCGTGAATCATTGACGACAAGGCATATAGACACACCGAGTGTAATTTGTCGTTGGAAAAAGTGCTATCGTTGGTGTTTTTAGTTGTTGCTTGAATACTCACTTATTCAGCATAACTCACCTTTCTAGCTACAAAATATACAACGCTAGGAATTGACACTCTTTTCATGAAAAATGTTTTTTTTTGTAATTTAGAGCCCATTTATGGTGATTAGTTATTAACACGTTACAGTAGACAAGAGACTGGGCTGAAACGTGCCATATTTTACAATGCTACGGCAGTAGAAATTCGAGTGCAGCGTGTTGTTTGTTGGTACTGAGCATTTGTGCTCTCTTTTGTCAGAGATGAGTTTGTCCCTCGTAGCTCGTGAAGCTTATAGAGACGCTAGAAAGATCTTGCAACAGGGCTCAATCACTCTTTAGAATGGATAGCCCATCATCAACGCTACATGCATATCATCTCACTTTTTCCCTCCTTAGCGGTCAATGGTTGGTGTTAGGATGACTCGTAAGAAGCATAGGAGGGATGGAGAGTAAGCGGATAGATTGATGAATTGAGATTGCATTACGCAAGGGTGGACTACTTGCGTGCACAACAATCGTGGCTACTCACGTGCACAATGATCGTGGACGACTCGCGTGCAGAGTGATCGTGGTGGTTGGATTTTAGCTGCAGACGATGCACGATGCTGAAAACGCTCAGAAGCTGTCATCATCATTGCAAAAAGGACGACTAAAATGGCGAAAGGGTCCAAGGTCATACGATCATAGCTGGCTGCAATGTCAAATCTTGAGATTTTACCGTGGCAAGGAAGTAAGGAAGTCTACCCTACACAGAGTGGAGCTCTCTCCGACGTCCACAATACGGACTCGAGACGACCGAGCCGGTAAGGCGAGAAGTGTTACAATTGGACCATTTTAATGAAAAGACGAGGGACAAAACGAACAAGTACCGGACGAGAGCCGGGGAAGTGTAATGTTGCGTGACTCACGTCAATGTTGGTAGCAAGAGTTTGAGCCTTTCCCAACGACTGAATAGCAACACGAACTGTACAGATCTTCAGGTTGCGTCGCTCGTTGCGTCGTAGTCGTGAATAGCTCAAAAGTTATCTTGTAAGTTATGCATAGAATTTGCTTCATTCCACTGCACACGGATTTGTTGCGCCGTTACGCAGTAATTCAGAGAGGCACGACAAAAACCCTTGGCTCACTCAAAGCATCCAGAAAGTATAGAGTTATTTTTCAGTCTCTATCGAACAAGACAAGAACAGATAAATATGCCCACATCGTCTCCATTGTATTGTTTCTTTATCTTATTCTTATGCCAGTAACCGATAACACAAACTCATGTTCCTCGTGTATTATTGGATATCTCAAAAGCTCACGGGATGACGACAGGCTTTCTTGCGCTTGGACTGGACGGCGCCGGACAGGCGCTTGGTTCAGCTTGCGTGCAACAAAGAGATGTTTTGGATTGTGTATCATGGTGTTTGCATTGCCTTCTAGCAGCAGTAGCTGCAATGCAGATAGCGATGATGTAGATATGAAACACCAAAGAAAAATAGGGCTTTGTTCACGCAGACATGTGAAAGCTAGACAATGGCTCTCGGGGTAGTCAACTGTTGCCAATGTGGTCGTTGTGTTTCATTCCTGCCACAGTTGGCTCTACCTGGTCAATGTAAGCAACGCTCCACAGCTTGCTCCTACTGCAATCGAGAGATTGGCTGGACGAATAATGCATTTCACACCAAGTTGCTAGTAATCAACCACATTGAATTTGAGTTGTGACCATGTCTCAAGGTCGAGCCGGACGTTGTCTAGCTCATACGGGTTCGTTACTACGTTCCTTTCCTCCTTTTCTATTAACACTCACTACTTGTAGCTTAGGCTTGACGGCCAATTGTTGATATGACTCGCAAGTCCAGCAAGCGCCATGCTTGAATTATTTGTCGAAGACAACAGGCCATCACTTGCAGTCTATACGATTCACTTTTGCTCCGCTTTTTTCTTGCTGCCATACAGGAAGTCATCTTCAAAGATAAACAAAATTACACAAACCTGAATGGCGATGGCACCATCATTTGTAAGAATTAGCCTGCTTTGCCCCACTGTGGCCGTGATCTATTGCGGCCTAAAGACCTAGAGCTTGTCAATAAGTAGCGTAAGCGACAGTATCACGTGGGATCCGTATGATGTCGCTGTATTGGCAATACGATAATGGCCGTGCTATTGACGAACATGATGATGCCAAAAGGCTACACTGTGTTGTTGATCTTAATCTGTGTCGTGAGGAATATACAAGGTCTCAAAGCTGAAGCTGATGTAACGGGCATCTGCTAGCTCAGCAGCGAGCCTGCCTATGTAGACCACCTGTTGCAGATTCCACTATTGATCAAGAATACAGACAATTAATTCAGTGCGTAGGACTTTTGTAGCAACGGTACCCTCAAACAGACTACGGTCCAGACAGGAAGAAGGCAATGCAAACAGCAGGATAGGATAACGTCCGATGTCTTCAATTAAACAAACCTTGGTCCTGAATTCACGCTATCTTCAGTGATGCTACTATCAAAGTATGACATAGCTCAAAGTCAAGTAATAAGGTAAAAACACCAAGCTAGCGGAGAGGTTATTTGAAACGATAAAAAAGACATTCCTAATCGCAACGAATAACAATATCGCTGCACAAATGGAGCAATATCACATGTATAGTCACGACATATGGTACCAATGTCATACGTGATGTAAAAGAGCTGAGCTACCGCATATTACAAGACATGTTGTAATAAGATTGCGACTTTTTATAATTGCTGGTGTCTTATTAGCTGAATACCGGTACCTTGAACAAAGAATGCAATGGTCGGTTTGGCAACCATTGGTCGGATTTTTGGGCCACTACCATTTCTTATCATGAAAACTTCAGCGAAATGTGAATGTCTCAGCTTTTGTATATTAGTGCTAGCTTTGTTTCAAACAGATTGAGAGATGTAGAAAATCAACGATCCACTTTTTAGACTTTGGCAAGATTCCGCCAAAATGGTGCTTACTAATATCTTGCTTGTCCAGGCGCTCCACTTTACCAGCACTAAACACATACTGGTCCGTCCGTCATCACCGGCCGTCGGACCAACCTTCGTAGACCCAACGGTAACACTACAAAGTCTTCCCCACAAGCTCATCGTTTGACTATTAGGAGCACATGCTCATCTTTTTGCTACAAGGAGCACAAGCTTCAGTCCTTTTCAGTCGTTCCAAAGTAGCCGCATATTCCTAGCTGAAACAATCAAGTATCTGCATAACCTAGTAACCACCGTAAACTATAGTGCAAAGCTTACTTGTCCATCGCAAAGAGCTGGATTAGAACCGACTTCTTTGATGATCCGAGTTTGGTAACATTGTTGTTATGGCGCAATAGCCACTGATCGTACCTTTTAGTTACACGCGACGGCCAATACCGATGCGATCAGAAGCGGTACGAAGACGTACTTAGTATGCAGCGAAGGTTCATTAGGTTCGCACCGTTGCCGACGTCCCGAAGCACATCGAATTCGATCGCGACGGCATCTGAGTGCATACAATTTCTAATATACCGACCGACCATTGGACGTCAAGGCAATCCGACCGACCGGCAGCGGCTTACAAAAAGCAAGTCGTAGAGCGCTGGGAAGACGACCGCCACGGACAGGCGAGTCGTTATGGCAAGGTTGGTTCGGCTGTATTCGCCACCCATCACAGGTTGTATGCTACTAAAGCCGGGAGGCAATTTCACCGACCGACCAACTGCCAAGTAGCACTACAAGCATACGTTTTCCAAATGATTTGACATTCCATAAACCGACCGACCTCACTACCCCGGCGCATTTTTTTATAACCGCCCGAGAACTCGAGCGACTTCGTCTTTGAGAACTTCAGAGGCGTCACCCCATTTTCCATTAAGCGTTTCAGCTCGTACTTGGTTCCATTCATTCAACGCGCTCAAAGTCAATTCCATTCAGTCGAAACAATGTACTACAACATTATGGACAATCAATCGAATGCTATTCCGTCATCCAGTGCTGTGACTCCCACACAACCGCGCGTGGTCAGTCACAAGCGGCGACGTAGCGTAACGTATGGAAGCGCTGCAAGAAAGCAACAAGATGAGGACAATATCAACAGTGCTACTGAGAGCTGCTGCACCACGTCAGGTGAGAGCTCGGGCGACGAGAGTGATGACTGCAGCTTTGAGGCGCTAGTAGCAGATGAGGAAGAGGAGACTTTGGTGGCGGCCAAGCGGCGGCGCCGTGCCGACCTCGATGGACTGAAGAAGTCAGTACGGCGCATGGAGGCACAAGTGGTGGACGCGTCCGCTCAGTTGAGGGATCTCGCGGCATTTGTGGCACAGGTTGTGGCACGACGTCAGCGACAGCAATTGCAATGCTCAGCACCAGCTCATATAGAGAGAAATGCACAGTTCACATATATGTAGCCAACCACTTTAGTAGTTTATAGAGCAACGCCATGATGACGCCACGTTAAGCAAGAACGGCTCGGTTCCAAAGCTTTTGTCGAAGGTCATGTCCAATTTATAACCGAATATGACAAATTGAATATGTTGATTGTATCTATTTAACGCGTTACACTAGTTGTCTACATAGCCTTGCCATCTTCATCTGCGCTCTCTAACATTGGGGAAACATTTCGTGTATTTCACGCGAGCTTCCAGCGCTCACCCTCGTCTCGTCTGTCGCCGGTCGGATTCGTGACCGTTAATATCTTGGATAAAGTAATTTAAATTCCAGTCTTTTCGTACGGTCGGTCGGAAAAATAGCTGCCTACTGTACTGTTTCTGCAAGCATTTGTCTTAGTGTCGCGCGCATTATGGCTTAAAATGATTGCTGCATGTATTGTCAATTATACCGCAAAAGAACAGTTGCAAAACAGGCTGCGCAACAATCAATTCACTAGTATGTTGTCGTTAATGCTGACTCGTTGTTTTGTGAGTGCTATAGAGACAGAATCACGTTGAGACTGAACATGTTTGTCATGAATGCGTATCAATTATGTGTTTGTATATAAACACCATACGACCACTGTTCGAAACCTTTCATGGAAAAGCACGTGTGTTTCGTTTTCCCAGTTTTTTATGCTCTATACCGACCACCACATAGCAGCATCTCTGTCTTGGGACCTTGAGGTGACAGGTGATGCGTCTCCTCAACAAACCAAAGCTTGTCAAACAGCACCGGCTGAGGTTTTGCAATCAATTCAGTCGTCATCTCGTCACACTTGGCCTGTAGGCAACCCAACGCTTCCTCGCTTACGTCGGGTGACAGCACTCGACCCAGTGTCGCGTGAATGATTATGCGGGTGTCCGTTTTGGGCGCGTAGGAAAACGTCTTTTTTGCCATCAAGCGGATGTAATCCACCGAGAACTCGGCATGTGCATTGATGACATCGTCATGAAGCGTTTCGTTAGCAGGACAGCATTGAAAGAGCATGATGATGGCACCCGAGGAGGCCATGAGAATTTGCACGGGGACCATTTGAAACGGCGCCAAGTGCATGCACATGGCCTTGAGCTGCGCTATGTCCTGAGCAAAGTGTAGTCTCGCATTTGGTGCTAAATCTCCAGGATGTGATGTGTGAAAAAGAGTGATGTGCATAAGGTCGCGGCGTGTAACGCACGCTACGGCGTTATTGGTCTCAATCTCGCGCGGTAGCAAGTCCGTTAGCTGCGTACCGATGACGTGACAGCGTTCCGCCATCTCCTTCGGAATTGGTGCACAGATAAGTGCCACACCATTGTTTTCGGTGGAAAAATGGTATGGCTTGGATTCTAGCGTTGCACCAGACGTGAAATGCTGTCTGTAATATCAAACGTATACGATGTCCAAGGGATCAATCATTCCACCACGTTGTGTGTATACAAACTTTTCTCACTGAAGCAGGATGGAGGACGCACCTTGTTTTACGCACACTTTCTCGATTGAGTCCTATTTTCCCGTCTGTATACAGCTCCTCATACAATTTGGCTCGTTGTTGGTGCCATAGCGCTTCCTGTTTGGTGCATTCCAAAGAGCTCATTTTTATCATTAGGCTAAATGTGGTTTAACAGTCGAAATGACATCTGGTAGGTAGATTTGAAGAACAATGGCTACATGAAGCGTCCATTCTAACGACACTTTTGGAACATCACCATGTAGCACTATTAACGTTATTTTGTTTACAATCTAGCATAAAATCACATGATCAGCACAGATTTTTACATGCAGCATCAACATGGTTGTTTAGTGCTGCAGCACCACGCTTTCTATCTCGTCTTGGTAAGATTCCATTCTTACACAAGTACAAACAGTCGACAGCATCCGTATTAAGCTAAAATAGCTAGATACTAGGTAACACGCACGCCGTGGTGTCAAACGCAGTCAATATCGTTGGCGACATCGTTCTCTGCTAAGTCTACGACGTGCAAGACAGTGTCCGACTTAATTTTTGCGTCTCTCTTCTCAATGAGCAAACACATAAGCTCACTTACTTGAGACTACAAATGCACGCAGCAATTCTGCAAACGCGTTCTTGATGAGACTTAGTTTGAGCTCTTTTATGGAGGTCAAAGTGACGTTGGCGAACATGATTAAAGCCTGTCAAAACCAGAGTCTTTGAGTAACAGCACGCGTTGCAGCAACATACATCGCGTCACATCCTCATCTCGGGTACTACGCATTACGTGTGAAGTCTCTTCACTTGGTACCTATAGGTCCTAGAATGACAAGAGAGAGGAGGTGGCGAGCACGATCCACGCTTACTTGGTTGAAAGCGGGAATAGCAGCAACACAATGACTTGTCGGCATGAGCGTGTTAGGAAAGTTGTAATGGTTACTGTTCTTGTGCTAGACTGTCATCGTCTTTAGGACTGTGCAAAACGCTGTATCCGATACTCGACGGTTTTTAACTGCTTGCGTAGTGATCGACGACGACCCTTTTTACTACGGCCATGCTCGTTCAACAGCGACTCTTGAAGCGCCTTTGCTCGCGTTTGCAGCTCTTCCAGCGACCCGGAGACCAAAAGCAAATGCTCGTTGCAAAACACGTCGTCGTCAGTCTCTCCTCGAGCTTTGGCGTCCGCACGACATAATTCGCATACGAGTACGTGCATGCGGCAGTAGGCACAACGAGTACCCGACAGTGTGTCATGTGGCACGTGACAGCGCTCACATTGACCCGTGATTGACTGATCCTCCGAAGCAATGGTTACCCGTTGATCAAAAACAAAGTTCTTGCCCTGGAAAATGCCACCTCCATCCGGAAACTGTTCAAGATAACGATGAATGCCTCCTTGAAGCTGGTAGACGTTTGGCAGACCGAGGTGCTTGAGATAAGCCGAGGCCTTTTCACAACGGATACCACCTGTACAGTACATGAGCACCTTGCTTTTCTGCTTTAGCAGAGGCAGTTCATGTCGCGCCCATTGCGGAAACTGCCCAAACCGACGAGTCTTGGGGTTCAAGGCTCCTGCAAAATGACCGACCTGGAACTCGTACGTGTTACGAACGTCAATGATTGCAATGGATTCAGGCTCGGTATTCAATTGCTCGGCTCGAAATTGTTCAGGTGTCAAGTGTCGGCCTCGTTGCGTCAAGTCGTAGACATGGTCTGGCAGCTCTAGTGCCACGATCTCCGCTACGACGCGCACTTGCAGATCTGGAAATGGTGTCACGTCTGATTGACTGGTTTTCCAATCCACGTCGATAAATTGAGGCTGCTGTTGCATGGTTTTGATGTATTGCTGTACATTGACACTTGAGCCTCCCAACGTGCCGTTGATACCTTCAAGTGCGAGTCGTACGCGACCAGTAAGATTCAAGGTTGAGCACAATAGTTCATGGGTCTTTGCAAAGGCTCTTAACTCAACCTGCGTCTCACAAATACGCACATATTTGTAGTAGAGTACAACAAGGTTTTGTGTCATGATAACGCCTCTCTTCCCTGCTGTTACTGCTGATTGGATGCGTGACAGGACGGACTGAAAACGAATGGACACAAGTCAAATCATAGAGACTAAATGTCGTGAGCTTTATCACACAAGGGCACTTGGTGTATTCAAGTAGAAGTTGATTGTAAGGTAAAGTGTTCAAGCTACATGTTGATGAGGAGCTCTCGCTGCATGTAAATTGCTCTTGTGGACGTTAAAGCGCTCTCACATGTGAGGAAGCACCAAGACGAAGACAATGCTGTCGTATATGCATAGCATTTTACAAGCTACAGTTTTCGAATGGCGTCAAGGAGCTTCTAGAGGTATAAGAACTTCTTCGTGAGCGACTACGACATCATGCACGTGACACAGGTCTACAAATCGTTGCATCCATGACAGCAAGATACAAATAAAGATAAACGCGAACGAGTAGCACGCGCTCTTGCAAAGCAGTGACTACCTTCTTGTCAACGAGTCTGGAGAAGCAGTCCTGCCTGCTACAAGTCGAAAGGATGCTTCTGTTGCATCTCTTGGCAAAAGTGAATTGAAGTGACGTTGCATTTGGGTTACCACAGCCTGCTGGTAATACGTTGCATAAGATACAAAGCATCCATGTTAGGTCAGCTACTTTGCGTCAAGATACGTAGCAAATCACCACAACGTATCCTCCTCACTGACTGTACGTAGTTAGTCTAGAGCTCTCGTTACCAATCCTTGATTCTATGATGTGCGTCCCAAACTTTCCTCCAGAACCATCCAAGTGCCAAATTTGTCCTCAGTGTTGCTGCTGAATGTCTTCGTGTCGTGGTAACGACAACAGCGTTGCAGCACTTGGTTCCTTAGCTCTCAACTTATTCCCATGCTGTCGCCCACAAGCTTCATCTAAAGCGTTAACTTATCCGTTGGCTCGCAAAGACATACCAAAACATTTCACAACAACGTACAAAGCTCCACGATCACGAAACCCAAAAAAGACCCTCCTGCACACATCAAGAACTCACTACAGTGTTGCCAACACGCGGCAAAGCAGAGCACAAATTGACGTTTGCATTTCTCTTGACTTACCATCGCCTGATTTTACAGGTTGCACACATACAAACCACATGATATAACCACCGTTAGCACGGCTACTCCAGGTCAAAAACCCAGCTAAATGACTGCGTGAAAACCATCGTTAACGTGCTGGCAGCTTTCGCCATCAGCAGCTCCATCCATCATCACACTGGCGGGGTCTACTACACCTGCTCCTTCAGCTAAAGAAGCGGAAGCCGCGGAAAGAGCCGAGTTCTCTGACGGATCCAACAGCGAAGATGCGTCCATGTGCTGCTGGCTGTCAACTTCCAGTGCAGTCACCGCAGAAGCATTGACGACGTCACTAGATGTATCTAGGTCAAAAGCGTTCTTTGCCTCTCCATCATGGCTGCTTAAAGCTCCCAATGCCTCTTTCTGACCCTCCATTCGAATCGCATCTTGTACTCGTCGAATTGCATTCAAAGCGCTGTCATCAGCATCATTTCGGTCCTTAAGGACGTGCAGCACATCACGAAACGCTTTCAGTTTCTCCTGCAATGACAAAGTACGACCCGGACATTCCTCCACGGACTCATCCACTTCATCTTCTGGGACTTCATGCACGTTTGACACCACGTCAAACTTGTCTTCGTGCACCGGATAATCAGACATCGTCTCGTCGTTCAGATACTCTATCATTGGAATAGGGTCCGCCAGACGCAGGAAAAGCATCAAGTGCTCCAATTCCGTGTCCAATACAGACTCTTCTTCTTCCTGCAAAAGGTCATGGTCGTCCATTTCCACACGGTTGCGCACAAGTTGCGTGGGAATCCAAGCGCGCTTAATCGTCTCCGTCGTGATCTCTTCCCAACTCGTAGCAGCCCACTTCATTGCCTGGAGAACATCCACATCAAACCTGGCGCTCTTCGCATCTGCCTTGTCAATTGCGTGGCGCAAATGGTAGCGACGAAAACGCTTTTTGAAGGTGGTCACGACGCGGGATGTAATGGGGTTCAGCATCTGCATGACAGCAGGAGTTAGAATGAAAACCACGACGTTCGTGAGGTCAAGGTGCGCAACCACGTGTGACGGCATGTCATTGATAAAAAGCAGAATGCGGCGCTTTTGGTTTGCCATGGCAAAGTCGAGTCGCTGTAGCCAGCGCGAGAAAATGACGCCCGTCATCCACGCCTTGTTGTTGCTAAAGTAGTGCAGTCCATGCTGTTCAGCCGTTTTCTTGCGAAAACACGTGGGATGTTCATGATGCGACACAAAAAGCGGCTGCAGCTTCTCCGATCCATCTGCATTTGCTGCTAAAGACACGATAAAGCGTTTTTTGCAACGCATTCGTCCTTCATCCAATGCATTTTGAATAGGTGGCATAGTGTACAATACAGGTGTTTCATCAACTGCAAACACGTCCTTGGTTTCATACTTGTCTGTCTCCATCATTAACGTTTCCATATTGGTCCAAAAAAGTACTTTACTGTTCATTATCGTTGAATGTCGACCAGTTGTCGACATCCCATCATCCAAATCAGCAGTACCATCGCAGCATCAGTACTAGCAGCAGCAGTAGCAGCAGCACCCATTGCTACTTGTTGTTGATGATGATCGGCATTAAATTTTCTAAAACTAAAGTTATGACGTAATTGAAAAGAATGTAGCCATCCATTCGAAAATTCCGGTTGTTCATTTTCTGGAATGCCCAACATGGTTGCAAATTCCTTGGCTTTTTCTTTTGTTAAATCACCTTGAACCGTATGACCTCGTCCAGCCATTTGAATGACCCAATTGGCCAATGCACTATCAAGCTGTGGATGCTGTACAACACGACGTTTCTTAATTCCTAATTCTAATGAACTCATATTAATAAACTCATGTTGACGTCGTAGAATTCCAGATATTGTTGACTGGGCAGGTGTTTTCTTCAGCTGAAATTCATGTTTTGTCCATTGTGCCAAGTCTTTTTGGGACATGACACCCCCACTTTTACGATAAAATTCACAAATGATTTTACGTTGATAATTGGTTAAATTACCATTTCCACTACCTCCTGTTGCTCTACTACCTCGTCGTAACTTGGTTGATTTAATAGAACGTTCCGTCATATCGACCACATCCTTGGTTGGTGTGAAATTGGACGCCATCAGTTTACTAGTACCTGTCTAATCGATTCTTGGAAATGTACAGTCCTTTTGAAAGGGGAGAGAGAAGTAAGAACAAATCGAGTCGTTTTTTTTCTATAATGTCACTATTGTGAAAGATAGAGTCATTGAAAGCGAGAATGACAGAATTAACGCACGGTAATTGCTACAGGTTCAACTCTATCTGAGAAACAAATGTGACATTCACATTCCTAAAATGACAAATGTTGAAGCTATGATTCAGACGAAAGAGGAATATATACCACCGTTATGGGAAGACGCATATGCACGTCATTTGACGCTCGTGCTTTCGTCCATTTTATTTGAACGTCAAGACTTTCGTCATCTTTTTTCAATTGATGAGATTCAACTTGCATCGCGATTGATTACTGACCTCAAACCATTGGAGCAACAATTGTACGCCCGTCTGCTCCAGCGTCAAGGACCGTGGTATAAGACGACGTCACTCTTTCGATACTTTATACAGAATAAAAATATAAAAATAAAAAGGAATGTACTACTGCAACAACAAGAAGAGCTACTGCAACAAGACAATGAGCTACAAGAACAGCTGCTAAATAACACTCAGATCCAGCATACTCTACGCGTCATGATTGATGCAGGTTTTTTCCAAACATTTCCAGTGATGACAGCGACGTCATTGAAACCACACATGGCTACATTAAATGACATACCCATACCTATGTCTGACATGGATACAATATTAGATGCCATAGCATGCTGTGCGACAGCATCAGAACTAGCGACTTTGTACAAGAAAATGACAGGTAGTACGAAATACGTTACGAAAGTGAACCTCATGGCTACAATACGAACACTAGCCAAGACACAGAGACGAATTGATGGCTCTAGGATTCCAGTGGCGCAATTGATGCATGAGATTTGGCTTGACTCGTATCCTCTTGTTGGAAGAAAGAGCTCTGACGTGATGGTGCTGCGCATGACGCCAGCAATACATGATTTGATACGAAGAATGCATCGTCTCTATTACTTTGTGTCTACACGACCGTTCAATACAATGTCAATGACGCTGCCACCACAAGTGGAGAATGTTCGTCAGCTCATTGCCATGGCAATGCACAAGGTGCGACAGGAACCGACCCACTGGCCAGGTTTGATGGTCTTTTTCAACAAAATTGTGTATCCAGAGTACAAAGTGACAAGGTCTAGAAACGTCGATGATAGTTTGATGCAGATATGCAATTCTCATTGCGTCTTTCCATCGTCAGAAGCGTACGTGAGCTATGAAGTGGCATATCAGCTGCATCGAATCATGAGTATTGTTGAGCAATGCATTCCGGTTGTAACACCTGAAAAGGAATACGTGGAACCGGATCTTGAGCTTAAATGGATGCTATCAGATGTCCCGCCTCTGTTTCTTGCATTTCAAAGGCTTTTGATGATTCTTGATGAAGATAAAGCAACCACCGAGACTGAGGTCAAGCGTGATATGATCAGGGCTTACTCGGCACAACTAGGAAAGGCAGAAAGCAAAGCGGCTGCGAACTGGCAAATGAACAGCTGGGAACAGTTTTACGCTGAGGTTGAAAAGATGGAGTCAGTCGACGACCTGGTGTTGGCTAGCAGAGGCTGTCTGCAGGCATTTTTGAAGTGGATGAAGGCTGCTGCATACAGCACTTCGGGTGTTCCCATTTACTTTTCAAAGTGCAATGCTGGCTATCACTTGATTCGTATTTTGCACACTGCAGTGGGCTTGTACGAAAAAATGCGCAAGTACCAAGTTGCCACATTACTGCTAAACGAACTGCTAGCTGCACCTTTTCTTGAGCGAAAGCGCGGGTATTGGTGGGATCGCCTAGCGTTGAACTTGGAGCACTTGAAATGTGCAGATCAAGCTAGAGACACGTGTGCGAATGCTTTAGAGGATCCACATGTGCTAGCAGCCGATCGAATTGCACTTGAAAGGCGTTTGCGTCGATTGCGACGCCGACAGAATTGCGAGGAAAAGTATCAAGTCGATTCGTTGTCTGGTGCTGACCTTTTGGTACAAAATACTGGAACGATTCTCATTACTCCAAACATGGGTGCCATTGAAGATGATGAAGACGAAGAGAAGATGGTGCAAGTCAAGACGCACACTCCCTACGAATATCGTCAGGACCGGATTGTAGGCCGTCCACTAAATCGACAAACGGGAGAAAAGTCACGGTTTGTGGGCTACGATGACGAACCGTGCACGGTTGAACAGCTTGGTCTGCAATACTACCGGGATCAGTATCCCGTTTGTGTAGTATCGGATGAAAAAATGAAGACGGGAGGATGGTACGGGGTGCATTCTGAAGGCGTTGTGTTTCGAAATTTGTTTGGCATCTTGATGTGGGACGTGCTGTACGCTTGTATTCCGGACGTTTTCCAGACACCTTTTCAATCGGCTCCACTGGACTTTGGCTACGCCGATGTATTTTATGAAACTCGGCGTGATCTCATTGATCAACGCATTGCTCAAGTGAAGGATCAGTGGACGCTGGCGGAACTGTTGGCAGCTTTTCTGACACGATGGAATTCCGAGTTTGGAAAAGTGTCTCGTTTTGTGCATTGGCCAAGCGACGATGTTGTTTCATTGAAGTTTCATTTGCTGACGCTTGCAGCAATAGGGCGAACCGAGCTGGCCAGTCTACTGCGCTACATGGCTACGTCGAAGGAGTTCCACCAGGCTCAAAATGGTCTGCCTGACCTTCTCCTTTTACGGATCGAGCTCTCTAGACCAGATGATGATCCTTCACTGCTATCTCGACAATGGCTAATTGACTGCCACAATTGTCTGAACGTTCACGTGTTTTGCGGCATGAATGAGCAGTTGAATATGAACGAGAAAACCCACTCGAGCACTGCGTTGCTAGAAGAGAACGGAACGTATTCAGATGAGAAGGTGGATGCTTTGTTGTCGGTGGAAAACATTATCCAGTTTGTACAGGAAGGTATCCATATTGCACGCCTGAAGCTAGTGGAAGTGAAAGGGCCACGAGACCGACTTAGTGACAAGCAACTGCTCTGGCTGCAAGTTCTCAATGAGGAGATTGGTCTTGACGCTAGCGTGCTGCACGTAGAAGAACCAGAGAAAAATGCCAAACGAAAGAAAACGAATAGCACGTCCAGTACTGCCAAATCTGCTCCTAGAAAGCACCATGCCAAACGAAGAAACTGATGAGAGCTGCCGCTGAAAGTCTGAAACAATATTTATTGATATCTGCCGATCACGTTGCGTTGGTAAAGCAGCCATCGAAACTTGTTTGACTCCGTGTCAAGTGTGTTTCCATTCCAATCCGGACAGCTAGCTCCTTTGCGTTTGCTACGCTGCCGTTTTTGGGTTCCTCTCTTGGCTGAGGTCGTAGTAGCAGCTTCATGATTGACAATGGCAGCTTCAAGTAAGGTCTTGTACTAGATGCAGCAACAGCTTGAAGAGATTGCTATCATGTTTCCTTCCTACTCTGGTCGATGTCTAGTTTTTCATTTTGTTGTCTTGTTTCATCTTCCTCCTCGTGCGAGACAATCCATTTGGCATGAGTTTCCCTGCATCCACAGCAAGAAATCAGCCTTCGGTACGCTCTTTGCCTTATCCTAACTCATTCGCCTATCACAGGATCAAACCACGACCACCCAAGTCATTCCATCACTGTTTGACAGGTTACCAACACAATGTCCAACAACCGCATGCGTTCCGTACTGTGGACGGAGGATGGACTACAGCTAATTGATCAGCGCAAGTTACCAACGGAGCTCGTTCTGATGCAATGTACGACGGTGGAGGACGTCACACGTGCCATCGCAGACATGACCGTGCGCGGTGCTCCAGCCATCGGTGCGGCTGGAGCTTTCGGTCTCGCGTTGGGAGCCAAGAACTTTCAGGCCACTGAACACAGCACTAAGGAGGAGTTTCTCAAAGCTATGGAGCAATCGAAGGCTTTGATTGATGCGGCAAGACCTACAGCGGTTAATTTGACGTGGGGTACGTTTGCGTGAAGAAATACCCTACAACGTGTGACACTGCTAATGGTTTGACGTCGTCGATGTGTATAACAGCAACGGAGCGTGTAGTCAAGCAGCTTCGTGCCAAGATGCAGGGGAAGGCAAGTGTTGCCGATCTGATCGCGTTCACGTTGACATTGGCACAGGCGTTGGCAGAGGAGGACGTGGCTATTAACAAGAGACTGAGCCAATTTGGAGCGGAGATCGTGCCGGCGGGAAGCAACATCTTGCACCACTGCAATACCGGTGCATTGGCAACCGTGGATATAGGCACGGCTATTGGCGTCATCTACGAATGCCACGCGCAGGGCAAGAACGTCCATGTATGGGTGGATGAGACGCGGCCACGCCTACAGGGCGCCCGACTCTCAGCTTGGGAGCTCATGCGCGAAGGTGTGCCAATTCACCTCATTGCTGATAACGCTGCGGGTTATCTCATGCTGGAAGGCAAAGTGGATGTGGTGCTTTTTGGTGCTGACCGCGTGGCGGCGAACGGCGACGTGGTGAATAAAATCGGCACGTACAAGCTGGCTGTGGTCGCCAAGGAAAATAAAGTACCAGTGTATGCTTGTGTGCCTACCAGTACTATCGATCTCAGTTTCTTCGAAGGAATGGGTATCCCGATAGAAGAACGCAGCCCTGACGAGGTGGCTTGCATCCGGGGCGTGCGTATCGCGCCCGAAGGCTGTCCGGTCTTCAATCCGGCGTTCGACATTACGCCGAACCGATACCTGACTGGCATTATTACAGAAGAGGGCGTTTGCTACCCGCCGTTTGAGCAGAGTCTCGCAAAAGCAGTGGCTACTGCCGAAAAGCGTCGCGCTGAGTGGTAGACGACAATGATTAACCTCGGCTCTCTTGACACGTGTAATGGAGGATGTAAGACCGCAAGCTTCAGTTTTGTTCCCTGTGCTCCTATGCTTCTTGTGTAACCTTTCATGTCTACAAATCTTGCTGAAGTGATGGTGGCGTCTATGCTGAGACGTCAGACGTTAGCTATGTCGACTAGGACAAAACCAAAGCCGTAGCAATTACAGCACCATGTATCGCTGACAAAGCAGCTGTGTACTGGAGGGATCAATCAAAGTGTTGTCGAGGATCTGATCATTTTGACGTGGTCATTCCAATCAAACAAGCAAAGTAAGACAGCTTCTTAGCTGCTCCACTGGCTACTAATGTGGGGCAACGTTCAGTAGCGGAATACTCACAAAGTTGGTCGTGAACAGTTCGCCGCCGTATATCTCGGCGGACTATGGGTTTTCATGTCTTTTGCACTTCCGTCACCGAAGTTTATGTTGGCGGCTTGATGTTTAGTACTGTTGTGTGCCGTCTAGGGTGAGTTCATTCATTTTCCGTGTTGATTGACGTCGTCGAAAAGTTGTGCTTAGCGGCGGCTTGGCATTTGGCACTTGCACGTAACTTGATACGTAAACCTTGCACAATGAATGAAGATAACATTCAACGAAGCGTGTTGTTTGTGTTCTTACAGCTTGGGTGTCATCGTTTATCAGTAGCGTCATTTCTGTTTTGCTTCCGCTCGACGACACTGTTCGTGGGATGTTGTGCATACTTGAAAATAACGAGCAATATTTTGAATGAGAGAGCCATGAGAACCCCATTTGTGCTGAATGAAGTTTTGTATCACAACGGATAGCGCATTATTTGTACCGGAGTAGCACCTTTTTGTACGGGTATCCAACCACGTTGCCACTCACCTTTGATCGTCGAACGACATGTCAATGAATACGCTGCGTAAGTTAATTGATCACGACAGAATCAGAAAAAGTGTACTCTGAAGTAAACAGAGACCCACCGTTGGCTTCGACACGTAAATTTTGTGACTGAGTTCCGTATTGTGCGTGTCCAAGTGCTACGCGGCGATGCGTTGCAGAACAAAAGTGTTGCTCAGCTCTTTGGTGCTTTATCCTTCAAGATGATATGCCTTCCAGATTTCATAATTCCAATTCCTCACTCACTATGCAGTATTCAGTCAACCACCGTTGCGGTAGTAGTCCTTGACAATTTTCTAGCTCACGATCCTCTATCAACGCTGCTTGCTGGAGGCCCGATATGCGCAATTAAGTAGCTTTGTCCATTTCTCATCAGCTCTATAGCAGTGCTGCATACAGGACTAGTTAAATACGAGAAAAACTGAGCTCAACAAAACCTGACGTCGCTCGAGCTTACCTTCTGCCACTGCCTGAGACTTCGTACGAAATTCTCTAGTGTATTACATGTTGGGATTTGGCAATGGTGTTTTCAGCAAGAGACTAAAATGAAATTCCGGAACGGCGCTTCGGGCTTGAGCGACTTCTTCGCGGTTGACACTAACACGTCGGGCCGCTAGTTGTAAGCACACGCATTACTCTCTTAATATTTGCACTAACCGGCATTTATTATGTCTATCATACGCATTAGAACACTAACCGGTTTCTAGTGTGGGCATATACAAGGCTACGTGTGGTGTGGTTTTCCTACAGGTTATAAGCCCAATCTTACGGGGCGCAAGACCGAAGTTTTCGAGTTTTTTACGAACTTTGTTGAGTTTCCAAATGAGTTCGAATTGAGTGGTCTGGGCTAAGATGTAGCCGAGCTACTGTAGCTACGCTCACTTATGCACTATGTGCAGAGGAAGACAAGCTCAGAGAGCTTCTACGTCTTAGGGTGCTTAACCCTCCTAGGCTAGCTCGTAAGCTTGTGCCTATCGGTATTTATAGCCGAGTCTCAGAGAAACTAGTACCAAAGATACTGGTTCCGTCTAAAGGAAATGAACGCTCAAGCTGTAAGGCTTACAGAGCAGGTTTGAAACTGATTTATATTTATGTTTATCTTCAAACACTAAATATAGAATCAACTACGCTATACTTAGTGCTAGTCACTATTTACTGGCTCTACAGCCTGTTATTATTAATGCAAAAATGCATAGTCACTATACTTTAAATAAGTATAGTGACCACGTGGCCTCTCCACGATGCGACCCTTCGTACTTCAGGTACGGTCACATCACCTACTTTTGTACCCAAGGTACAGCCACACCACATTGGTGTGGCAGGTGTGTATGTAAAATACACACCTTCGTGTAATCCCGTTACATAAGAGATGATATTATTTTTTCGTTACTTTCGTTTGATTTTCGTGTGGAAAATGGATGAAGAAAAAGTGGATGTGGAAGTTTTGCTTGATTTCGTGAACCGCCTGAAAGGAAGGCTAGAGGCAATGAAAGAGGAGCGATTACAAGAGCCATTTCCTATCCACTTTCTGACTCACACAAAGGCTATAAAAAACGGCAGTGTTTTCAAAGAAACAATTAAAAAATTATGGTCCGTTTGGAGGAAAGATAACACTCAATGATTTAAGGGTGATAATGACATTGAACGAGGAGATGCATGGCGTGCACTTAATCGAAATGGACAGCAGGGACGGGTCCAAGGAATGGCAGGTGGGTTTGCTCCACAAGTAAACCCTGCAGGAAACCAGATGCGTACGTGTAACGGGGTAAAACGAAGGTGTGCATTTTACATACACACCTGATACATCAATGTGGTGTGGCTGTACCCTGGGTACAAAAGTAGGTGATGTGACCGTACCTGAAGTACGAAGGGTCGCATCGTGACAGAGAGCCACGTGGGCACTATACTTATTCTAAGTATAGTGACTATGCATGAGCTAGCCTAGGAGGGTTAAGCACCCTAAGACGTAGAAGCTCTCTGAGCTTGTCTTCCTCTGCACATAGTGCATAAGTAGCTTTGCTACAGTAGTTTGACTACTTCTTCTGCACATAGTGCATAAGTAGCGTGGCTACAGTAGCTCGGCTACACCTGGTAGCACTTGTAGTCAATCCCGCACCTGGGTTTGCGACTACTTTTCTGTGTGAGAATGGACATCGATGAGATGTCAGCGGTTGGCCTGTCACAGGCACAACAGGAAGGGTTGCAGAAGCTGCTCCCTATCCTTGGCCCTAAGGGCGTGGAATACCTCATCGACCAGGGCGAAGAAGAGGTTAACAAGCGTATTCATATGCTTGATGAATATAATAAAGCTCTAGTCGAGCATGTAAAGGCACAGATGCCTTCTTCTGCGCCTTCGCCCATGGCGACTATGGCGCAAGAAGTGGTCCGCAGACCAAAACCCATACAAATGGAAGTCGATAAGTTCGACGGCAAAGAAGGTGACAACCTTATGCTTTGGTTCCGACAGGTTGAGTCGGCTATGTTTATAGCCGACATCACCTATGAACCGTACCGTGTGGGCTTTGCCACGGGCAAGTTAGGTGGTTTAGCCAAACAGTGGGCATTCACATGTGGTGCATCATTGCAAGATGCTTTTCCCACATGGGCCGATCTGAAAGTTCAGATGACCCGGCAGTATGCACCGCCAAACCAAGCACACCGTAACCGGTCGCGGTTTTTGGCGTGTCGCCAAGGCAAGCGTGAGCTTGCGGCATATGTACAAGAGTTGAGAACTCTCATTGCTGCCATGGTCATAGACCCTATGCCTGAGGCAGTGACCGTCACGGTCTTCATGGAGGGCCTCCGAGTTGGCGTTGCCAGAACGGAAGTCTTCCGGGTAAACCCGTCCTCATTCGAGGAAGCTGTTGGAGTGGCATGGAATGCCGAGACCAACTTTAAGGCCGCTAGGCCTGCCACTTATAACTACTCGTCTGATGGGTCTGTACCCATGGACTGTAGTCAAGTGGAGGATAAAGAAGCTGAGCTTCAAGCTGCGGAGCAGCAAATTGTGCGCAGATGTTATATCTGCAAGAGCACAGGCCATTTGATGGCAAAATGCCCTGCAAGAAAGGCATATTTGGCCTCAAAAGGGCCGACGCCCCATGGGTAAACCTTCTGGTTTGCCGCGGGGAAACGGCGGAACCCAGTAGGCGCGGGGTGCCCTACTGGGGAAGAACTGAGTTCTGTTGAACCTCTAGGAGGTAGAAGTAAACAGGGCCCAGCCCCAAAGAGATCCAAACTCTCAAAAACGGAACGAGAATGCAAGCCAGGCTTGCTAGTCGTCGAAGGGACGATTAAGGGCTATGATAAGCCATGGATCATTTTGATCGATTCGGGGGCATCGGGCAATTATGTGCGCCGTGCCACCGTGGAAGGTAGTCAGCAGTATGCTGAAGCGCTTGTAGCGCGTGAAAGTGACACAGTCACAGTTCGCTTAGCGACTGGTACGCGTGTTACGGTACCCAAAGTCCCGATGGACTTAAATGTAAAGTTCTTGGACTTTAACAGCATGGAACGCTGTTTGGTCTTAGACCTGGATGCGAGGTATGACCTCATCCTAGGCATGGCATGGCTAGAACGTCATGAGCCATGGATTGATTGGAGGTCAAAGACCTTAGGCGCAACGCGCAATGCTCCTGGTGGGGCTCTGGAGAGTCATGAACCCACCTCTGCTAGGAAGCAAAAGCGCTTTTGGCGCGGATATTGGACCGAGTCGGTCAATATGTTGGATGTCGGAATATCCGACTTTGTAGACACTGTAAGTGTCGAGGACAATAGTCCTGGGCGAGGCCCAATGACTGTCGATAGTGTGGTTGAGAACCCACTAGATGGCACATATGACATGTGTCATGAGAATGATGTTACATCATTAAACAACGTGAGTGGTGTTGGTGGCTGCAAGCCAAGATGTCAGGACATGAGTCCAAGTGACATGAGTGACGAGGAACTGACCCTGGAGGGCCGGGTGAAGTCATCAATGGATGTTGTCTTTGAGGATAACGAGGTGCATGCACCCAACGACGAGGTACTGGCCCAAGAGGGTCGAGTGAAGTCATCAATGGATGTAATCTTTGAGGATAACGAGGCGCAAACACCTAGTGACGAGGTACTGGCCCAAGACCTTAGGTCGTATAACGACCACTTCGGCGATGTCGCCTGCCTGTAAGGCAATGCCAAACTCGGCAAAGGACAACTCGTCCAGCTCTAACAGAGCACTTGCTGCGGGTATTGATGAAAGAGCCACCGGCTCTTCAACATCCCCAGTCAAACCATTGACGAGTGTATATAGCTGTTCGCTATCACCGTCACTCACGATATCATCATCGCTACTCATGATGCTCTCAGCATCCGACGCATCAGCGTCCACAGGTGTACACACGTCAAGGTCAAAGCCCACTTCGTTTACTGACTGTACTTCACCCTCTTGGGTCAACGCCTCGTCATGAGGTGCTCGCACCTCGTTGTCCTGAAAGACAACCATCAATTTTGACCTCACCCGACCCAGGAGCTGAACTCCTCATCGCTTTTGGATGAAGCAGTTCTTGAAGACACAAAGAAGCCGTTGAATGTGCGTAGTGGATAACAGATCCTGAAGGACCCTTCGGATCCTTATTTTTTGTTGTTGAAGGATCATGGAGATGTTGTCTCCAGAGAACCTCCTACGAGGTTACCTCCGGATAGCGGTGTACGTCATGAACTTGACTTGGTTCCAGGAACCAAATACTGTGCGACGCGACAGTGGCCGCTGCCACGAGAACAATGTGACGTCATTGACGAGTTCTTTCGTGCAAAGCACGCGGCTGGCATGGTGCGCGAGAGTAAGCCTCCTAACTCTACGCCTACGTTTTGTGTGAAAAAGCCTAATGAGAAGTGGCGAATAGTGCATGCTTATAATAAGATGAATGCAGCCACTATCCCGGCTCAAACACCGATTCCTCGCAAAGATGTTCATCAGAACAATATGGTGGGATGTAAGGTGTACAGTGCAGGAAGTCAGGCCGAAAGGTGAAAAAGACATCTGAGGCAGCCGCTCTAGCTGAAGTGAGAGGCAAGAAATTGTCGAAAGAACAAAATTTTGTGGAAGGAGGTTTTGAAAATATTGAATTAATGATGAGAAATCGTTTTTTGCATTCGCTGTTTCCGATAAAAATTGTTTGGATAATGAATGGTAAAGTCGCCGCTGTACGTGATCCCAAGAGCTATTTTAAAGCACACTAAGGAATCATTCCGACAAGTGGACGGTAGCAGAACATGTAGAAAAGGATGGATGTTAGTTGTAATGGGTGAAATAGATTCTGTCTTTATCTCTTACCTTTGTCACTCTTGCTGCCCTAACTAGCTGCGATCTTCCTGCACCAACCACTCTCTAGCGTCGCCCTTTACTCTTCAGACACCTCTTCGCCGCCCCCCATGCGTCGCCTATAGCTATCAAAAAGACGCGTCCTTTCGCGTCGCCAGAAACTGCTAGACGACAAGATGCAATTTCTTACAGAACAAGCCGAATAAAAGTCACTGGAAGATCTTGAAACATGGGACATTGCTCGAAAATATGATCGCAAGAAACCTTTACCCACTAAGTGGGTGTATAAACGAAATTGAAAGGTGATGGAACTATTGAGCGTTAGAAGGCAAGGCTGTGGCTCGTGGCGACAAACAGGTTTTGGCGAAGATTATTTCGTCACGTTTTCCACAGAGATGGAAATAAATAATATGAAAGCGATCTTGATTATGGCTATCGTATGGAATGTACCGGCAAGGCACGGGGATGTGCCTAGTGCTTATCCCAAGGCTAAACCAAGAAAGAATACGACATTTTCTGCAGTACCTCAAGGTATGCCGATTTTGAATGAAAAAATGGAAGAATTGGGGGCATCAAATTCAAAGGAGTTGGCTATAAAGCTGAAACGAAATCTCTATGGCCTAAAACAAGCCGAAATGTTGTGGTATTAACGATTACGAGAGACATTGATGGACCTGAATTTTACGCAGTGTTGAACAGATACCTGTGTGTTTGTGCGCTGATGGACATGGAATTGTCATTGTCGGGGTCTATGTCGATGATATGTTGGTCACCGCATCCGACACATCCCTAGTTTAATGATTTTTTCAAAAGTATGGAAAGTGTGGAGCTTAAAGACCTGGGAAATGTCAAAACGTTTTTAGGTATGAGTATCGAAGGAAACCCTCAAAATGGATACCTGATTGACCAAGAACTAACAATTATGGAGATGCTGGAAAAGCATGGTTTAAGAGATGCTAACGTTGTGAAAACTCCCATTTCAAGCATGGAAATAGGTGAAGGTTTAAATGAACTATTTTCAGCACAATCACGTGGAGAAATTCCCTCAATAAAGGGTTTTCAATAACTAGTTGGCAGCTTATTGTGGAGATCACGAGTTTCGAGGCCTGAAATATCGTTTGCTGTACATCGGGCCACCCGACACACTCACGCGCCCACTTTGGCCAGACTATAAGGTAGCCAAACATGTGGCTAGGTGCCTAAACGGTACTAAAATTTTGAAACTGAAGTTGAAATGTGCAACTGCCTTTGCAAATTATCAGTTACAGTGATGCGGATTTTGCTGCTGACCGCGAAGATCGAAAGAGTGTCAGCGCAAATGTGGTTCTTGTAAATGGGATAGTTGCAGGCTGGAATTGTAAGAAACAGGGCACACTAGCACTGTATACTGCAGAAGCGGAGTTTGTGGCAGGCGCAGTTGGAGGAATAGAGGCTCTAGGCCTGAAGGAGCTTTTCGAAAAAATGGAAGCAATCGAAGAAATCGGAGCGCAATAAAGGATGCCCATTGTGTTGAAGATTCATAAACAGGCAACTATCAAGCATTTGAAGAATGAAGCGAGTGCAGCTAGTGCAAAGCATGTCGATGTCAAGTTGAAGTTTTTGAAGGACTTCGCGGAAAAAGAATGGTTGAACCAGAGGGATGTGGCAAGCGAAGATATGGTTGCAGATTTGCTGACGAAGGCTTTACATGCGCCAAGAATTGTGGAACTTCAAACGAAAATTGGTTGGAATGAGTGGTTGATTCTATCGGAACATGGAGACATCTTGATGTCAATGAAGACTCCGCGTGGAGTCAAGAAAGGTGTACCCATTGGCGTGTGGCATATTCCCAAACTTTCGCGAGATCTGTTTTCGGTTGGCCATTTAACCAAGGACCCGCCGTGACCTTTTGAAACGAGGGTTGCTATGCTGAAACGAAGGGTTTGAAGTGGAAAATTGAAGCTTGCGAAGGCAAAGGTCTGTTCAAGCTCTGCATGACCCCGATGGCAGTGAGCGAGGCCAATGCGACTGTCTCGATGGGATGCCATGGTGACACCACTTCGCACCTCTGGCATCTTCGACTTGGTCACATTGGTCATGGCGGTCTGATGCAATCGTCAAGAAAGACTATGGTGTTGGTATCAACTTGAAGTCAGTGAAACCGTGGGGGGACATGTGACAGGTGTTCACTTGGTAAGCAAACACGACTCAGCTACGAAAATTCGTCACCAAATCGCGCAAAGAAAGTACTTGAGGTCATCCACAGCGATGTGTGTGTTCTTATGCACACGGTGACACTCAGCGGGAAACGCTACTTCGTTACGTTTATCGACGACAAGTCACACTTCTGTATGGTGTACTTGCTCCGAAACAAGTCCGAAGTAGCTTCCAAGATTGTTGACTTTGTGGCACTTGCTGAGACGCAACGGGCAAGCACGTGAAGACACTTCGCAGTTACAATGGCGGTGAGTACACTTCGTAAGCATTGGCCAAGTTGTGTAGCTCTCGTGGAATTATGCAGAAGTTCACACCACCTTACACTCCTCAGCTTAATGGAGTTGCTGAGCGAATGAATCGGACGCTGGTGGAATGCGCACGCTGCATGATAAAGCATGCCGGATTGTCGAAGTAATACTGGTGCAAAGCAGTCATGACTGCCATGTTTCTTTGCAATCGATGTCCCTCACGCGCAATAAGTCTCGACAAGTCGCCACACCAAATTTGGACTAGCAAAAGGCCGCTGTTGGGAAACCTGAAGGTGCTTGGATGCCACGCGTACGTCACAATTCCCAAAGAAAAGCGCACCAAATTTGATGCTTCGTCGATACGCTGTCGTTTTATTGGGTACTCAGATCATGAAAAAGCATATCGATTTGAAGAGCTGGACAGTGGTCGTGTACTGGTGAGCCGTGATGCACAATTTATGGAGGATGTTTTCGACGGGGGTAAACGTAATGACGCACTCGAAGAAGCCCCTATTGATCTTCAAGACGATGAAGAAGCTACGGATGAAGATTCACAGCAAGAAGAAGAAGAAACTGCGCGGGATGAAGACATGGATTCAGGCAGCAAAGGACATCAACGAACGCAGTCGTTGGAGAAGGCAGCACAAGCTCCAAGAGCCAAGAGGTCTATCAACTACAAGCGGCATCAAGGTCTTAACGAGATGTCAGCAACAGCTCAAGAAAGCCAAGCTTTGAAGCAGCATACATCATGGATTCAGTGGGGGAAATGCCGATACGCACAAGTCGGCTATGGAATCCGATGATGCAAGGAAGTGGCGGGAAGCGTGCGACTCCGAGTTCAAATCGCTGAACAAGAATGAAACATGGGAGCTCGTCCTATTGCCGCGCGGACGGAAAGCCATCAGCAGCAAGTGGGTGTTCATGTGAAGGAAACAGTCGAAGGTTTTGTCAAGCGATACAAGGCACGACTTGTGGCCAAGACTTTTCTGCAAAAATACGGAGTCGACTTCGAAGAAATGTTTGCATCAGTGGCCAAGTTTACATCAATACGGATCATCTTGAGTCTCGCGGCGCAGTAACGGCTCGTGCTACATCAGATGGATGTATAGACCGCTTTTCTCAACGGCACTTTGGACGAAGAGATCTACATGAAGCAACCCGAGGGCTTTGTCGACTCCAAATACCCTGATCATGTGTGCAAGCTGAAGCGTGCACTGTACAGTCTCAAGCAGTCGCCTCGTATGTGGACCAGACAATCTACGACTTCATGCTCAAGATAGGTTTCACCAAGTGCGAGATGGACGACTGTGTCTATCACAAGAGGAACAGCTCGGCCATGATGTTCGTGGTGATCTACGTTGACGGCCTCATCCTTGCGTGTAACGACTTGGGTCTACTCGCGGCGACCAAGTGTGCGTTGAATGAGCGCTTTGAGATGTCCGATCTTGGTGAGCTCAAGTACTGTCTTGGTATAGAAGTCAATCATGATGACAAGTCGGGTGATGTATTAGTGTGGCAGTCCAAGTTCTTGAAGTTAATATTGACCAAGTTTGGTATGCAAGACTGCAAGACCGTGACAAGACCCAGGACTGAAGCTGATGAAGAGCATGTGTGAAGGTGTTTGCAACCACGATGAGACCATGAAGGGTGTACCATACCGCAGCGCCGTTGGCGCGTTAATGTACCTGATGGTCGGCACCCGTACAGATCTTGCTGCTGCTGTGGGTACACTAAGCCAGTTCGTCGCCGATCCCTGTCCGACACACTGGCAAGCTCTCAAGCGTGTGTTGCGGTATCTGCAAGCTACCCCGACACACGGCATTCGTTTCGTTGGATCCAGTGATGGTGATGTTGTTGGCTACTTGGATGCTGATTGGGCAGGTGACATCGAGTCTTGGCGCAGTACCAGCAGGTATGTGTTCATGCTTAACAGTGGCTGCATATGCTGGCGTAGCAATAAGTAGCGCACTGTGGCACTCTTGTCGACTGAAGCTGAATCCATGGCTTTGTCAGAAGCGATTCAAGAAGCAGTGTGGCTCAAGGCGTTCATGTGTGAGCTCGGTGAAGTTACGGGCAACGATGCTCTGACAGTGTACGAGGACAATAAAGGCGTGATTGCATTGGCCAAGAACCCCGAGCTCCACAAGCGTACCAAGCACATCTACATTCGATATCACTTTGTGCGTGAGAAGGTCGAAGATGGTCAAGTTGCATTGAAGTACTGCCCGACACAAGATATGCTGCCGACATCATGACGAATCCAATTCCAGCGACGCAATTCTGCACACTTCGGAGTAAGATCGGAATCCAAGAGCCAAGAGCTGTCGAGTCGCGTGGGAGTGTTGTTGAGAGACTGTTCAAAAAGCGACTCGACCAGCAAGCAACACTGTCAAGATTTTGCCTTCGTCTACGCAAGATACTGGTACACCGGAAGGTTACCAGTAAGTATCAGCTGTTCGGTATATTGGTAGGTACCGGTATACTTGTCGGACGGCGATTGTCCGAAGGCGGACATGGCGTCACTCGATGAAGTCATTCAATGACGTCACGGTAGGAGGTTCTAGAAGGTTCTAGAACGTTAGGCTTAGAGGTAGCTAGCTCTTAGTGAACTAAGTCCCTCATATATATTCACTTTGCATTTTGCACTCAAGCACCCAAGACTTAAGTTCTTCAAGCGTATACTCATTAGGTTACCTTATTAAGACTATGCACAAGGATGTGAAGTCGGAATGGATGCGTATTGAATGTGAAACCCCGGTAATCTCGGAAGGAGTGTTGGAATAAATTTTCGTGATATTATTCAACATTTACGTGCTTTGGCAATGGCGTTTTCAGCGAGAGACTGAAATGAAAGTCCCGGAACGACGCTTCGGGCTTGAGCAACCTTTTTGCGGTTGACACTAACACGTCGGATCACTAGTTGTTAGCACACGAATTACCCTCTTGATATTTGCACTAACCGGCATTTATTATGTGGGGGGGGGGGGGGGGGGGGGGGGGGGGGGGGGGGGGGGGGGGGGGGGGGGGGGGGGGGGGGGGGGGGGGGGGGGGGGGGGGGGGGGGGGGGGGGGGGGGGGGGGGGGGGGGGGGGGGGGGGGGGGGGGGGGGGGGGGGGGGGGGGGGGGGGGGGGGGGGGGGGGGGGGGGGGGGGGGGGGGGGGGGGGGGGGGGGGGGGGGGGGGGGGGGGGGGGGGGGGGGGGGGGGGGGGGGGGGGGGGGGGGGGGGGGGGGGGGGGGGGGGGGGGGGGGGGGGGGGGGGGGGGGGGGGGGGGGGGGGGGGGGGGGGGGGGGGGGGGGGGGGGGGGGGGGGGGGGGGGGGGGGGGGGGGGGGGGGGGGGGGGGGGGGGGGGGGGGGGGGGGGGGGGGGGGGGGGGGGGGGGGGGGGGGGGGGGGGGGGGGGGGGGGGGGGGGGGGGGGGGGGGGGGGGGGGGGGGGGGGGGGGGGGGGGGGGGGGGGGGGGGGGGGGGGGGGGGGGGGGGGGGGGGGGGGGGGGGGGGGGGGGGGGGGGGGGGGGGGGGGGGGGGGGGGGG